AGAGAGAGAGAGAGAGAGAGCGGCTTGAAGCATTTAGGGCTGAATGGCTTATGACTCGAAGGTTGTAGGCCTCAAAAAGCCTTTAGAAGAAGAGCTGAAGAAGAGCTCTCCGAGCATCTGTGTGAGTTGGCTGTTTAGCGCAAAGCCTGTGCTCGTCTTGCAGTGTGGTCGGGGGTCTTAAACGGCTGGTTTGCGCATCTCTGCCCTAAACTCCAAACCAGATGGGAATCCTAAACCCATTCCTGGTGGCCGAGACCGCGAAACGAAACCTGAATACCCTTCAAAATAATACTGGTAACAACAATAACGATAATAGCTTTAATAGCAATGAGACTTATTCTAATTTTAGTAGTTATAATACGAATAGTAATCATACTTATAGCAACATTAATTGTTATGGTACTACTCAAAGGTAGTAATGGCGAACAAATACCACATAGGCCTTGGGAGATGGGACATTGGCAGCCGGCTTTGTGGTGCCAACTATCGGCTTCGCCGGGGCCTGAGGCAACAGAGCATGCACGATGGGTTTAGAGCCTAAGTTTGGGGCTTTAGGGCTTGAGGGTTTTGGGGTTAGGGTGTAGGGTTAAGTTGTGCAGTTGGTGTGTCTTTCGCCGTGGGAAGCCTGGGGGTTCCAGGGTTTGGCACGCTGCAAGCTACACGCCAGGGTAAGCGTAGCACATAAACCCTAAACGCTATGAGCCTTGATCACCTAACACTAGCATCGAGATTTGATTTCGATTCAAGGCCGCGGTCTCGGGCTCAGGGGATAATGAATCTGAAAACTCGATCTGGGCGGTCTTCGCACGTAGCAGGTGATAACGATATTTGCTAATCAAACTCACCATCATCGTCACCCGTGTGATCCTTGTAACCAATAGCAGTGCTGACAATAGCAATGGTGATCGTAGCAACGGTAATGCCTCCGTGCGGATGTGCATGTTCTCACCCTTCAGAGCGTAGAGTCCGGAGCACTGTCCCTACAATACTTACACTAGAAGTTATCCCAAAATTGCACTTTTCGAATCATTACCAAGTAAAGCACTTACATCACACCCTATCAACCCCGATTCTCATTATGAAGGCCCTTAACTCACATCCCATGTGGTACGTCCCATTCAGGACGCTTTTAGCTCGTTCCAGCTGCCGGGCCTTCCGTGTGACGCCGCTTGTTACTGGAGACTTCATGGGCGTGCCCTTGCCGGGCCGCGCAGGCGCAACCAGGAGCGGCCTGAGGGTTTGGGTGTAAAGTGTAGGGTGTAGGGTTTATAGGGTTTAGGTGGTGTTTTCTGGGGTTTAGGGGTTTCAGGCTTGGGGTGCAGGGTTCAGGGTATCGCTCTAGTACCCTCAGCCCTGTCTAATACAGGGGCTACCCCAAAACCCTATCTGCGGACTTGGGGGCCTTGACAGTTTCCTTTAGGGGTGCCTTTAAATTAACGGGCTCTTTCAAGGGTTTGGCAGGACTGTTGATATAGAGGCCGTAGGACTTAGAAACGGGTTTTGAGGAAGCCCCTACGTTAAACTGAGAAAACCGCGAACAAGCCTTTCGAGTCTTCGGGCTTCGCAGTATTCGTCGGCTTAGACGGTTTAGGGCTTAGGCTTTATTCTACAATTTTCGGGCTGCGGTTGAGGGTTTGTAAGCAAGTTTAGGCCTTCCGGCATAGCTTCCTTTGAGACTGAGCGCCAAAACCCTGAGAAACTCCAAGCCTCAATGTCCTGAACCCTAAAGACTCTCGGGTGGATCCGAAGCTATTTCAATGGCGACACCTCGGGGATCCTAGCCGTGTCACGCACAAGTCACAACCAGCCAGAAACCCCTGAAGTCACGCAGACACTACAGGCTGGCCTCGACACTCACGGATCCCACTTCATGCCCTACCGTGCACCCCGCGGGATCAACGAGTCTTTTTCAGACCTTGCTTGAAACTCTGCCGGGAATTGGCAAAGGTAGGGTTCGAAGTGGGCCTCGTGCAAGGTTACTTGCCCGGCTTGTCTCCCTGTCAAAAAAATAAATCGAGGTGCCACCCTGGAAGTTAAACCTGCTTGAACGCTCTGGTGACTTAGCACATCATCTAAGACCCTCATGCTGTGTAGGAGCCTTAGTGGAATGTGCTTAAGGCCCGTGCTTGGGCAGCACCCAGGTCCCCACCGAGGGGAGGAAGCGCCATCTCGTGGTGGCCTTGCTCGTCGTAGGCGAAAGACCCCGCTCTTGGGGTGTACGGCTTCGGTAGGGCTTCCGCTTGAGGGTTTTGGGGTGTCGGGCTTAGGGCGTTTAGGGAATTACTGCTGCGGGTTAGGATTTAGCTTGCGCCGCGTGAGCCCGATCGAGCGTGCAACAGCCATTCCAAAAGCCCACCACGGAACCCAACACGACAACACTAACCCGATGGAACTTCCTCAGAGCACTGACCAAGGTCTAGAGGGAACAGGCTTGCTCATCCGAAAGCTACAGACAAGTCTAGAAGACTCCGTTATTATGGAGCAGAAATGTGCTTCTGTCAGGGTTTGCGGCTCCTGGCGCCTAGAGCCCTTCGAAGTTGTTACAGCTTTCGGGTTTAGTTTTGAGGTATCCAGTGCCGAGAAATTTGGGCTTCGTACTGGAGGCCTCCTGGTTGAAGGCTGCGGCCATGGTAGCTGTTGCTTCCCGCTAGTTGAGCCTGGGCCCTTAAACCCTTGTAGCCAGAACCTCTGAACCCGCCTTGGAACCCGCTAAACCTAAAGCTTGGAAGCCCGAAACCCTGAAGCCTCGAACCCGAAAACCTAAACCCCAAATCCGGAAGCCAACTCCACTAAGGACGCGACTGCCACAGCTTCCGCGTTCGCCTGCAATTTGTAGGGATTGGGCTTCATAGGGCCCCACGAAGAGGTCTTGACAAGTAGACAAGGATTGCTGGGGCATTCTTGTTGCCCCCGCCCGCCCACTCCTCCCTTACCGATCCGCTAGGACCTGCATGAGCCTTACAACCATAATCCGACACCTTCTTGGGAAATAGCGGATAAAATCCTAAGCCTAAGGCCCCAAAACCTAAGCCTACAACCTGTTTCCAGAACAGCTGTGTCTGAGCCTGACTCCAACCTAGCAGCCAAGGCCCTCCGCCCTGTGCCCTGAAGGCCTCAAACAAAAAAAGGAAAACAAACGAAACAGCAAAAACAATCCTAGTTGCTGACGCCCCAACACCACTGAAATCTTTTTTCATCATGCCAGGATTAAGCAACAACTCCCAGAAACCATGAACCTTACCTACCCGCACCCTAGACCTGAGATACACTTCAACCCTCCAAACCTAAACATAAAGTCCGTAATAGAGCTTGAAAAGCCCTAACCAAACCCTCAACCCTGGAAAGCCCTCAAAAGCACCAAACCCTCAAACCCCCTAAACCCCAACAGCTTGACAACCGTACCCAACACACAACCCCTTGATGAGTACAGGGTCTAGAGGTACACCGTAGTAATGTCCTTACCTATGTGCAGTAATTACCGTCATCTCATTTATGACCCGAACTACAAGGTCTCATGATGCGAATGCCTAAACCCTTCTAGATCCCTTTAAGGCGCCCTGTAGGAAACCCCTTCACGACTAAACTTACAAAACGAACCCTCATGCCTCATGGCATCCTCCGTATAGTAACCCTCACACCAGATCCCCTGCTCCTAAACCCGAAAAACCCACGGAACCCTGACGGAACGCATGTCGGTTAAACCTTATCCTACCAAGTCAATTCCTGCCATTCAGACCCGACCCTTGCAGAACCCTTCCGGAACATTCACTGCAATCCTTACAACCCCCTCTAAAGCCGAACTCCCGAGTCTTCCTTAGCAAGGCCTCAGGAGCCTTGGCGAAGCGCTGGATCGTCCACAGTGTTGCGGCACCAAGTGCCTTTTGGGCTTCTTGTGTTCGGGTTCTGCAGGGTCTTGTGGGAGTTTCGGGCATTGTGAGGGCTATTATGGGGGGTTCTTCTGTCAGGGCTGTTTAGGGTTGTCGACTTCTCGGTTACCAAGTGCATTGTCGTTCAACGGCTTTA